TATTTCTAATATTTTTTTGCCCAGATGGATGCTGAAGGTGAAATTGAAGACGATGACTTGATAGAAAAAGTCTACTCGCCTGCTGATCAAATATCCGACCGCTCTGGTTCCAACCTGCCCGCCTCTCCCTTCCTTCGACATCAACAGCAACAGCATCAACAACGTCTCTTATTAGAGAAATTGAAGACAATCGCTATCTCGTGCAATAGACCTCTTTTTTTGCATCTTGCCGTCTCCTTAATATATCGAGGCCGGGCAATCCAGGTTCCATTGCAGCAACCCACTCTTTGCTTGGCTGGTCTGCGGTGCTGGCTGCGCGAATTGAGCAGACGATCTACACATACTTCTTCTCTATCAGTGGAAGATGATGATTCCTCTGTGATAGATTTGGCTGACTTACGTATCCGCCTCCTTCTTGTGCCTATTACTTTCTTGTTGCCATGGGAATTATCAAAACGCTTGGATTATAATTATCTTGATGAGTTAGTGGCAGCGGTACCAGCCTCTGATGTCGTCGGTTCAGTGTCTGATGCATCAGATAACGAGGGTGTTTTAGAATCTAGGCGACCAGCTGCACTAGGACGAGATGGCAATTGTTCTCTGGTAACTGAAATGGATAATCCGGTTAACCAGGCGCTCAATGGCATTACGATTCGACGACTAGGCGGTCCTTTGACGAAGAATCCTCCTGAAGCCACCTCCTTCGCATTCAGCTCTGTTGAAGCTGAGGCCGACATTTTTCCACCTATCACGAGTGGCTGCCAATCGACTGACCTCAATGCCTACTGGCCAGACGCCGACTGGTTAGATGATTTGCAGGTGAGCGGATTGCAATCATGCCTATGTGAACTGGCCTGGCTAATGCGGGATGAAGTTGTCTGCTCTTTACGTCAACTTCCTCCCTACCTCGATACTACTTTAGAGTATGTACTCGATCATCTTGAAGATACAAAGACTCGACTCTCTACACCTAGCTGGGTTATCGGCCAATCGTTGCCTTTTTCCACTTTTAATGCTCCAGTAAATGTCTTGAACGCTTCTGGCCGACTTGCGCCTTCCGATATTCACAATCTTAGCCTTGGCTTATTTAACTCTCAGCCACCTTGTTCCGGCTTAGCAGACATCTGCTTCTCGAAAAATCAGAGCTTGCTTTCCTTGTCGCGGCCCGCTATGACTCCAGAAGCAGTAGAGACACCAAATCGTCCTATGAATGGATTCCTCTGTACCTCATCGCTTCCACATCAATGGCCTCCTGTACAGTTCTGGCCCTTTCCTGTCAATCGAGGACCCTCGGCCATCGTAGGTGGCTTATCTGAGCTAGCAGTCGGTATTACTTCGGAGCGTGTGTTACTTCACTTTGTCTTGCCGGGAGACGAGTCGATGCGTCTCTTCGTCGATCGACTAGAGACATTGTCTTTCGGTTTTCCGCCTTCTTCAGCCTGCCTGCAGCGCCTCGGAGATTGGTACTTTTTCCGCTTGCTGACCCCGTTTGAACTTGAGGAAACACAATGCCAAAAGTCTGTTGGTGCGATGCCTCCTGAAGTTATCATCTCGCCAAATGTACGCAGTAAAAGACGCAAACCGAAAGAAAAAAATAGGAGTAGTGGTCAGATTTTCGGCAATCAGGGTTGGTTCCTACAACCAATGAATTTTGTTTCTGTAACCCAAAACGACCTTGCTCAACCTAAGGATAGTGATTTCACGGGTTCTATATTCTCACAATCTCATGACCACGAGATTTCTTCTCCAACTCCCTCTGTTCCAGAACCAAGTAGTCACAATCATACTCAGCCTCATCTTGAGGATTGCATCCGAAAAGAGTATTCTACCTTAATTCTTGACCAAGATAAAGCAGCTGAATGGTGTAGCAAAGACAGGGATTCAACAGAGTCCAGCTTCACTGGGTTAGTGGAAACTATAGCAGATGCGGAACAAAAAGAGGTCGAGGAGGAAGAAGAGGATGCACTCGCGGAAGAGTCAGACTCAAGCAATGGCCATGATAATGACGCGGCCGATGATGAGGAAGATGAGGACGAGGAAGAAGAGGCTGAAATGGTCGAACATGAGGCTGCAGCTTCTCATGCTGCCAGTAAATCCGGTAGATATTCCACGAACACTCTCAACGGCCAAGTAACGGACAGTCCACTGCAGATCATTTGCCTCCCTCCTCGGCTACGACATGGCTCCATTCAACCCTTATTCTTTTCAAATGGAAATTGCATCTCAGCCACCGCCTGCGATCGCTCATGGCCTGCTTTGGATGAATCCAGGTTAGCAGCAAATATGCAGCTTCTGACACCAGCCGGTAGCCTTTTCTATAGACTTCCAGATTATTGGTTGATTCTTCGTATCAGTCAGACCGGTGTCTCCATATTCGTCCATCACACAGACTCCCATCGTGACGCATTCGATTATCGGGCAACCGAGGCAAATTTTGATTCCGGCCAGTCCTCTGTGCTAAATGAACGAGATCAGCCAATGGATGCAGGTTTTTCCAAACCTCTCGCGAACACTGCGTCGCCACACTCCAACCAAGTTCGCGGATGCCCTGCCTGCTTGCTTTTCCGAAGAGTCGTTTCCGATTTGCATGGCTTGTTGCACTACGTCAATCAAAGTATGCTCCTCAGGCAGTTGAGTTGCGAGCTGAAGTGTAGTGATCTGCTTGAAACTACGAATGAAGTGATTCCGACAGGTCCGTCGCTTGCCGGAGGCCGCCGTGGTGACGCTGGCTCTGCAAAATCCTCCGCTAAATTGACCAATCAACGTCTAACAAGCACAAAGTTGCAAACCAGCCGAGAGTTCAGTGATCATGAAAGTAGTGAGGTAAACCCATCTGTTGACGATTTGGCTACCAGACAATCGATTATGGCTTTGCAACACAACAGACCATCCTCATCTTCTCCTCAGTCCTCATCTCGCCTTGCACTCGCGTCCGGGACAGTGCGTAGGCCATCCTTCGAAGCGGACAGTGATGAAGACACCGGGCTCGGCTTCCAAAGGAGCTTGGCACTCGGCGCCATATCCTGTCCTACCTCTGTCATGTCCTCATCTAGGCGTCGCAGGCGGGCAGGTCTTCGAAACAGAGATATTGTTTCAAGTTTCTGTAAGGCACCGGCTCGTGGTCTGCCCAAGTCAGGACCTACAGCCTGTAGTTCAGGTCGCATTCTAGCCTCGCCGCCACCGACGACTGAGCTTTATCATCACTCGATCTCATCCTCTGGACTTGGGCCAATCTCTAATTATCCTGGTCACTTAATGCCAATGCCCCATCTGCTCGTCCGGGAACATGTGCCTCAGATCCCTGTGCATCCGCGCCACTGGCCTCCTTGCGCGACTTCTTCATCTCTGCTGAAGCCACGGATTGCCGGCCACCTCAACTACGTCTCTTCGAGACCCGACGCCTCAGAGTTGGCCGGTTTTGACGCAGTCTATGACAAAGAGTCCTTTTTATTTCGTCATCCTAGCACCCAAGCTTTTAGGCCAGGCAGCTTTGCCTGTCCAGTTCAACTCAAGGTAGAATTTCGTTTACATCCTCGTTTGCTTACACTCGCTCCACTAGCTTCTGGCTCCACTATTTCAGCTACTTCAGGTGGTTCTGGTGCAGCCTCCAGTAACAACCTTGGTGGGGCCTCTGTTTTTGTGGCTGCTAGTATGACCCCTTCAATAGGGGCAGCCTGTTCGTCTATGACAAGTAGAGTTGAGGAAAATTCACAGCAGCATCGCACATGTTTCGTGATACCATTGCTGCAATCTAAGCTGGAAAATTTTAAGGTATCTAATCGGCGAAATATGTTTGTTCTTCCAGACGAGCCAGCAGGGACTTCTGAAGGTGGCAATTCAGGCAAAGCTGATAAACAAGGAACTGAAAAACGACCACCGATACTACAGAGTTTCTTCTCCAGCACTAAGCCCTGTTTGGACAGAAGCCGTTCAGTTGGCCCGCGCATCTTCTACATGTTCCTTCGGGAAATTGTTGTTGACCGCTTTTCTTTACCTTCTCTCTCGACGGCAACCAGCCTAATCGGCATAGAGCCTGATACCTCACTGCCCTTCACAAATCCTATTAATAAACACGATCCAAATGAGAAACACATTCTTTCTACACCACATCCAGAATCTTTTAGGTCTTCTGACACAACAGGCGCGCAAGCTTTTCTGTCCAATCCATTGCCGATTGCTCATCACCCACAAAAATCTATTTCTGGCAGGTTGATTCCACCCGTTCGATATTCCGACAAATCATCCAACAGTGCTCAGATTGATCGTCAGGTTTTATTGCAGGTAGCCCTGCACGGAGTGGAGCCTCCTAGTAAACATCTGTATGTTCGTCTACATGACACTTTACAGACTTGGCTAGATGGTCTGGTGATGACCTTGTTTGCAAATAGCCTCTCGCGCAATGCCATCACTTACTTGTCTCGAGAGGACATTGATTTCCTGACCAACAGACGGGGTAAGCGGCCTCAAATGGAATTCTCTATTGTTCTGCCTCAATTCCCCTTACCCAGTTCTCCGGTCAGCCCTAAATCTGGCCTCTCAACTTTGCGGTGGCGTCGAAAGCAGCCTTGTTTCGTTGATTCTCATTGCGGCCACTTATTGGCCTTTTCCTACTACCTGAAACAGATGCTCAGTCTTTTTCTATCGCCTGTTCTCGTGAGACCGGATGCCATGCTAGCCTTCGAGCTGAATGGACCCCATGAATGTTTTTTGTACCATCAAAAATGTGCACAGGGAGTGTCTAAGCACGGCGTTGCTCTTGTCCTCGTCCAGCTGGTTCAGGCCTTTAAGTATTACAGAGATCCGGTCACTATCACGCAATGGCTTCTTCCTCAGCCCTTAATTGAGCACTTGCGCTCTTCGAACAGTCTAAATATTTCCTCAAATTGCTCTACCAATGATTGGTCAGAGTGTGAGGATTCGCGACTCAGCGGTACCGATTCCAGGCCAAACTTGAATCGCCTGAGGCAAATTTCGGCGAGGCTTGTCACCTTTGGCCGCAGTACTTCAGAGGCGCCTCGTCGTGGCCAGCAGCTTCTGGTGACTTTCCGTCTTTGGGAGCGAGGTGAAGTCGACCTTAGCATCTTACAATCAAAGCTTTATTCCGCTGCACACCAGGCGATGACAGATTTTCTCACTGAATTCATAGTCCTCACTACTCCCTTGTATTTGCATTCATCATTCGATTTCTCTCCTAGCTGCCTAAGCTGCCCAATAAAAGATGATGCCCCGGTTGATCACGAAGAGCAAAATCATCATTTACAAGCTTCACAAAAAGAACTTGAGCTGGATCCCTACTTCCCCAAAGTTGTCTTGCCATGGCTCAAGGAGGGAGTTGCTATGGAGCACCCATTATTTCAGTCGCGTGAGGCTCACTTCTCCTCTCAAGTTGGTGGGCTAGACAGCTTTCTACACGAGCTTCTCCGCCAACTGGAGGCTATCGTCGCGCCACCTTCCTCTGTTCTTCTGCCCACAGCCAGCTGTGCCACTACCGGCGTAATTCGCACGGCTGCGTCAGCTGCCACAACAACACCATTTGCGGCGCAGCAACAGACCCAGCACCCGATGACTTCCAATAACACTCTTCTTCCTGGTCAGTGTGGGATCTCATCAACCGGTCCTCGGACAATCCCCCTCCAGCCTC